GAATTCAGTGAAGATAATGGCTGTCTAGTCGAGTGTTCAACTTCATAAATCTCTGGTGCCTAGATGACATAGAACCTTCCACATCTCCTATTGAGGAAAGCTGAATTAGCTATCCCTCCTTTGTTTTCTGAATGCAGACCTTTTTGTTGTTTGCTCCTTTTTTTTGTTTGTGACCAACTTCATCCTTAGAATTCAATGCTATTATTTTTGCTTCTCCCAATAAGAATTATTAATCGCTAATGTAATTCAGGTGTGACCAGTCTTTGCATATAAAAATACAATCTTTATACAACATTGTTTAGGACTCCTGCAAAGGACAATGCCTTGACCCAGGATCTCCTGTACCTGGTCAGCTGGGAAGGAGCTGACTTCCCAAGGACACATCGTGTTCTATCTCTTGCAGCAGTTCTTCCATGCTCCTAAATGAATGAATCTCCAGATACATCTATATTTGCCACCTGTGCTGCAGGTTTGGGGCATCTTTCAGCAGCTCATGATCACCTCTGAGGGCATTTATATGGTAGTTGTTCACCATATTTGCATTTCAAAAACTGAGTATGTGTAGTAGAGCTTGGCACTTGCCAGTTCTGTCTCCATAGTAAGGCAGCTGAAAACACATCTGAAATGTCTGCCTTACAGGCTTGGATTCTGCAGCAAAATCATATTGCTTGGCTGTTAATTATACAGCACACTAATGCAACAGAATTAAACCTGAGCAAAATAGTGGAATCAGATATATTAAGAGAAAAAATATTTTCAAGGTCACAGCAATGCAGATGACAATTTCTTTTGAAACAGAAGTACAGAGGCTGTCACGGTGATAATTGTGTGTTATCTACCTTACTATCCAGTCACCTGTTATTTATAGTTTGGGTTTTTTTTCCCCTAGGAGTTTGCATTTGTTTCTTCTCTTCTTACTTTTATTAACTTTTATGTGTGATTTTTTAAGGCATTTAACAGCTGCAGCAAGCCATACTGTGATTTGAAGAGATTTGTTGAGATCCCTAGGCTGTTAGTCTGAATTTAATACAACATGTAAGAGAGTAACCATAAGAGTTGTAAATAGTCAGGAGAGATTATGTTGAAAAAGAGACTGCATTTTTTACCTACATGTAAAATGTGTTTTCTGGGAAGCTGTGAAGTTATTCGGGTAGCTTTTTTTCAGGTAGTAAGTTAGAAGAGAACCAAATTTTTGCTTAAAGCTTTTTTCTGCCTATGTAAGCAAGCTTTATTTAACTTATTTTTTACTATGTTTGAAAGGTGTCTGTTGAAAAGTGGAAGGATTAAATTTAAAAAATCCAAAGAAAACTGCTCTGCAGAAGCATTACTGTCACTTCATATGACAGACCAAAACCACTAAAATGTATCAAAGTTTGAAGTAATACCAAATCATGTATGATGCTGATAAAAGGCAGTTACTACTGTGGTAAATTCCACCAATGCACAGAAGAATCTGACCTGTAACTCTAGAATTGAGAAACCCTTACCTTTAAGGCAGTCTCTTTTTCTTGGTGGCAAGAGAATGGGAGAATAAAAGGAAAAGCCTGCGGACTGTTAAGTCCATACAAAGCAAATGACTTTTTTTTTTTCTAAAAGCATCATTCAGACAGTGGGAATAAGAGGTATATAAAGCCTTTGTACCTGGCAGCCATTTGATGGACAGGCTATCATTATTTCTGTTAAACTCTTGCAAGTCTTCTGCTGGAATCTGAATGTGTAATTTGAGCATTTGGTATGAGAGGATGGCAGTGCTCCTTTTGCTTCCAAATTCAAACAATGAATGTGGGCATTTAGGAAGTTTTGATGTATTACATAAGCTCTTTTGTTAGGCCTTCCATACAGACTCTGCATCATTTCAAGTTAGTTGAAAATACCCTGGCGTTACCTACTCCAAATGAAGTCAAACCAGGGGAAAAAACCAACAAGAACAACAAAAACCCCAAAAAATCCCCCTAAAACCACAAAAAAAAAAACCCCAGCATAAAACCACTCTGAAACCAGAACAAAGATTCATAACTTTAAGTGGTGAGACATGGATTGTGTGTTTTTTCTACATGTGTTGGTGATTTTTGCATTCCTATGTAGAAACATGCTTAAAAAATGCCATCAACCTGTGTGCACCAATCAAGTTTGAATGTTTACCTCCTTGCACAGCAGAAACTTTTGGTGTAGACAAGACTGAAGATACCTGTTGTTTAAGAATTATGTTTTTAGTGTTTCGATATGCAGACATTTTGTTTTGAGGGTTTTTTTTTGAGGCAGGCATGTCCTGTATGGGGTGATACTCTCGTATTCTTTTTTCATTACACCTCTATACATCTCTGGTATTTTTTTCTCTACTACATATTCTGAACCCAAGAATTTGAACATCATCAGTAGAAAACTCTGACATGTACAAAACTTAAACTTCCACTGTAGGTTTAGCAGGCAGACTGTTTCCATGTGATTTCTGTAACTCAAGTAATTATGAGTAAAATATAAATATGGAGGCCACCTTATCTTTCAGTGTGATGTCTGCTGGGCAGTACCTCCCCACCTCCTACAATCAAGTAGTTGATAGTGTAGTGACTCCTCACTGTTTAAGGTTACAAAAATTTCTAACATGGGAATTTAGGGTTATAAACAAACAGTGGTTTAAATACTTACGCCGTTAGGATGTATCTCTTTGATCCAATTTTTCTAGAAGGCACTCCTGTGTGACTGAAAATGTTCTAATTTCTGGAGTTAGCAGTTCTGTAGGTTTTCCCTACTGTTTTCATTAGCTTCTGTCTATATACAGCCTGGCCTTGTGGACTGAGACAGAAAGTACATGATATTTGATGGTAGGATTGCATGCTGAAGGTTTGCCTCTTTCTTCTGTGGGAAGTGGGAGTGTGCCCAACAGGCTTAATTCCTCCTTCAAGTCCTAACAATGCACACCTGAAATTTGGTTTAACAGTGACAAAGTTGCCTTGATGTTGAAATTTTTCTCCATGTCAGCACTGAGATCTCTGTTATATTCTAATGTTGTAAGAGAGAGAGATTTTTAAAACATTCTCTTTAGACATCCTGTATGTTTGTTCATTTGTAGCTGAGTGTTTTTCATGATTTGAGTTCAGGAATTCAAAAAAATGTTAAGAATCCTTCCTTTTTTCCCCATCTCCCAAGAATTTTGCTGTAGGATGTTAAATTCTATTCCTGTTACCTTAGTAAATATGTTTTGGGGAGGTTTTGATCAGTCATATCTTTCTGCTTGTCTTCCAGATGCTCACTGCTTTGCAGATCTCTCCATTCTCTGGTTTTTATTTTGAAAACTAGAAATAAAGACCATTGAAATTCCATTAGTGTCCTATTTTGCTCTCCATTTCCCTCTTGATGTGTTTCCTTCGTCTGAGGATGAATGGAAAAAGTAGTTTTAAACCATTTAATTCTTACATTCCTATTGCCCATCGTGCAACTCTTTTCTGATGCACGTGCTCTCCTCCTGCTGTGCTGCCAAGGCAGCCTGGCTCCAGCCTTATGGGAGCCACATCCTCTTTGTGCCTGCAGGATGTGTCATTCTCTTCCTTCCTTTTTTTTTTTCCCCTCCCTTCTGGGTAATACTTAGAGCTCTATTTTATTTCCAGACTGATATTCAGAAAAGCATGCATAATTGAATGGTGCAGTCGAAAAGGTTAGAAGTGCAAAAGTTATTTTTAAGCATCTGTTTTCTGGTTCAGACTTAACGATATCTGAAGCATGCTTTTCAGGACAACTCTGTTCGGATGGTTTGTTGTGTGGAAAGGCTGATCAAAATCTATTGAAGGTGATGATTCCTTTCACATAACGTTTTCTATTCAGCAGTGTGGTGAATTATGTAAAAGTTTATATAACACTGTATTAAAAATTTCTAGTTTGTTATTTTTGCAGTTTTCTTCCCCACTTAAGATTTAAGGAAGGGTTCTTCCTTGACTGGATTAGACACTCAGGCAGCTATTGCTTGGAGACCATTGTCTAATGGGTACTGTAGAAATGACAAAGAGAGATGCTCCCTTGTTTTAAAGCAAAACCAAATCAAAACCCCCACAAACTGGTAAGAGATTTATTGTCAGACTTAAGAAATGTGTCTGAATTACTTGATTTATTTACTGTGAGAAAATACAAGTAGAAAGTTAATTTTAGTTTTCCAAATTTGCATTTTCATAATTAATTTCTAGACTTTTTTTGAAGCTCCCCTAGATTTTGTTTCCACAGGTGAAAAGCCAGGAAAAAAGTAGTTCATGAAGGTTGTAAATCTTCGTATTTCAGGATGAAAGAGAAGCTATACATTTTAAAAATAAAAATCACGTGTATATAGATGAAAACCAGACAAGTTTTGCTAATGTATTTAATTGCATTCATTCTGTTCTTTACATGTCATATTTTGGTTTTATTATAAAATGCCTAAAACTTTGTAATGCTTTGTCCAGGGGGGTTGCAGGATGTCTATAATAAAATGTGCATTTTAAAAAGAATCTGTTTTTAACAAAGGTTACAGATCTGTGATTTAATGAATATCATTGTATACTTCCATAGCAGGGTTTACATTAAAGCTGTATGCTAATTTTTTCCAATTTTAAACCTCATTTACTGAGTAGTACAAGAATGTTGTGACTGTGATAAAATTCCTACCAAAATAAAAAGTAAAAATGAATATATATTTTTATAAGGAGTACATCTTAATAAATTATGATTTATATTTTTGGACATGCCTTTTGTATCCAAGATTCAAGGAGAATCTTGCCTTCTCTGAATAGGATAAATATGTAAAATATGTGTAAATAACTGCAAAGTTTAAGACCATATTTACCCTATGAGTGGGCTTTTTGAGTTTTTGCATTTAAAAATTCAGAAGAAACAACATATGAATGGTATGAATAGTATATAAGGGCAATATATAATGGAATCATGGAATCATGAAGATTGGGAAGAGTCTCTAAGATCACTGAGTCCAAACATATCCCTGAGTACTATGTCCACACATCTTTTCAACACTTCCAGGGATACTCTGGTTTCTTATCAAATTGTATAAATCTTTTGCCTCTTAGTAAAGATTTTCATGGAGAGGAGCAGGTACGAGTGTTCAGGGATGCATAATATAAAAGAGCAATTCAGTAACAGCATTGTATAAAATAAGAACTGCATTTGCTTAGTCTTTTCTACAGATAAGCAATATGTCCAATCATTTGTTTCCTCAAAGAGTAAGTTTTATGTAAATTGTAAATGTAGGTGCCTTTTGGTGACAGCTGAAAACCTTTTATAGTTTGAGCTTTGCCTTAGATTGACAGGAGACAGCCCTAAGTTTTTCCTGACCTCAGAGCTTTGCTCACATGAACACTTGGAGAAAGCTGATCTGGTAGAGGTTGAGTGGTTCATTGCTGTTAACTCTGTTTAGCCCTAGCAGGGTGCAGGTGAGGTGATGTTTTCTCATGCTTTGCACAGACTCTCTTGGCAATGTCTCCCTGTCTCCCTGTCTGTCCCTCTGCCACCCTGGGGCTCACAGCCATCATGCCATCAGTGTTGTGGAGGAGGAGGAGCATACAAGAGGTGGATGTAGGGAGCCATGAGCTGGTCCATTTGGTCCCATTTTTTTAGGAACTGATGATAAGCAGTGTGGAAAGAATCTGGACTGGAGTTCCAGTGCCAGGCAACACCTGCAATTATGTAGGAAAACCCCCTTTAATTTTTTTTTTTTTTTTTTAATGGCCAGGCTGCAGGGTGAAGTTTGGCAAATGAGTCTCAGAAGACTGTACTGGTTACCTGGTGAGGCATTCTGGCTGTTCTCAGATTTCTTCTGCTTCAGGGATCAAAGATAATGCACATGAGCAGCCTTCTTTTGTTAATACCTTTTTATTAAGACTGTATGGTTTCCCATGCTAAGTGTATGTCTAATTCAGTAAATGAAGCACTTGTATAAGCTTTGTGTGCTAATGCATCATCTAGGAACAATGTGAGCTGCTTTCACAGAGAAGTAGTTCTGCATTTTGTTTGTGTTTCTTCTAGGATGAGAATGCATGGGAGGAATAACACATTATTTATTTAATTCACTTGGATGTAAATTGTTTTGGAAGAAGGAGGACAGCAATAAGCTGCAATTGCTAAAGAAAAATGAAAAAAATGTGAAAGAAAAATATGTTTAACAAGAACCGAGAGTTTAATACATTTCTCTAAAAATAGCCTAGATAAAGTATGTCATTCTGCTCTATTTCAGTCACATTGGTTTGTTTCATAGATTTGTTTTTAGTCTCAGTTCCTTCAGGCAAAGAAATTTAAGAAACATGAGATCATTGCATCTCTGAAGGTAGACTACCACGAGGCTTGCAGAGCCTTGGAAACTTGGTTACCATAACGCCTGTATCCCCATGGGAAAACTTTTGGTTTGAGCTAAAATGGCCTGTGATGTGGAATGTTGTTTTTGACTCTTTTAAGAAGTAAAATGAAGGTAGAAGGAGGTGGTGGCATGTAACAATAGTCTTAACCTTAAACCAAATCCAAAGAAAGAACATCTCCTCTGATTTCAGCATACTTTTTTGGGGAAAAAAAGGTTTAATAAAGCTAGAGTACCTAAAAAAATATTGGTTTTGCTTTCAAAAATTACAGTCATAAAACTATAAACCAGCCCAGGTTGCAAGGGACCTTGAAAGATGATCTGGTCCAAACTTTCTTGGGAATGGGAACCTAGATGAAATTATCTACCCCCCTCTCTAATCTCATCTTGAAAACCTCCAGTGATGGGATATCTCTATGATATCCCTGGAAAGAGGCTGTTGCAGGGAATGATGATTCTCACTATAAAAATGTGTTTCATATGCTGAGATGAAACCACTCTCGCTGTAGCTTGTACCCTTTCACCATTGCCTTCTCCATGTGGCTTCTTTGAAGAGAGAGCCTCCATCCTCTTTGCAGCTACTCACTACGTACTGGAATACTGTTGTGAGGTTCTTCCTGAACCTTCTTTTCTCCAGGGAGAAAAGGTTTAATTCCTTCTGTCTTTCATCAAAAGACATGTTTTATAACAATTTGGTCATTTTTATGGCCTTTCTTTGGAGTCTCTCTGGTCTGTCTGCATCTTTCTTGAATTGTGGGAATGAGAACTGGGTATGGTACTGCAGATGTGGCCTGAGAAATGCTGAGCAGAGTGGGATGATCACATCCCTGCCTCTGAATGCCCCTGAGGATTAAGCCCTGGATTCAATCCTTTACTGCAATGAAACACTGCTGACTCATGGTCAGCTTGTTGTCCAGCAAGACCCCCAGGTCCTTTTGAACACAGTAGCTCCCCACCATATAAATCCTGTCCTCTTTGGACAGGATTTGGTTATATTGCCCCAAGTTCAGGACCTGGAATTGTCTGTTAAATGTCATGCTGTTCTTGCTACTCCACTTTTCCAGTCTGTCCAGCTCTCTGTAGGATGGATCTCCCTTCTAATGTGTCATGAGCAAACTTGGTGAGGGCATTTTCAATCCCATCATCCCCATGATTTATGAAGGTGTTGAAAAGTATTTATCCCTGAGGGATGACTTGTAACAGGATGACAGCCTGAGTAAAAACCCATGATCACCACCCTCCAAATCTGACCTGTGAGTCTGCTTCCCACCTGTCTTGCAGACAGCTCGCCCCAGTCTGTATCTTGCCAGTTTGTCCAGGAGAAGGCTGTGGGAAACAGCACTCAATGCTTTGCTGAAGTCCAGGTTAACAACATCCTGTTCTTCTCCTTATGTCGACAGAAGAGATTATTTTGTTGTAGAAGTTGATCAGGTTTGTTGGTGTGGTTTGCCCTCAGTAAATCGTGGTAGCTTTTCCCAATCACTTGCTTCATTAGGTTCATTACATCTACTTGTTTTGTGACCAAGCTGAAAGTCCTCAAGTTGCATGATGTTTGCAGTAAAGGGGATTGGGAAAAGTTATCTTGGAAATTAATGTGAAAGTTAAAATTATTCAGGGTTGGTAAGGTTCTTTAAGCTTCCCTACAGTAATTTTTTTCTTTTTCAAAACTCCTTTATAAAAATAAAAGAAGTTTCCAGGGTGGGCTTGATACATAAAATAGACTAGCTAACCATGGAGTAATGCTGTGTGGTATGTTGCCGTGCGACCTACTGAGCAGAAAATAATGATGCTTCAATATATCATAGGGAAAAATACCTAGATGTTAAAAGCAGAATATATTAAATGTGTTCAGTAAAAAAAAGGACTTGATGATATTTAAAAGAAAATCAAAGTAATTAAAAAATGTATTAATTATAAAAAGCAGTTCTCTGGCAGATAAAGTAATTAATCATTCAAATCAGAGTACTTTTAGAAGCACTTACATAAGAAATATCAGATTAAAAAAAAAAAAATCTTTTAAGGCAAAGAGAAGCTACTTAAAAGATGAAAGAATGAGCCAAAGTAACTGTCCATGGTGGATGGAAGATCTTCTTACGTGTTTTCATCTTGCACAAATGAAATCCTTGTAACAGTTACTGGGCTTTAGTATGAATATGGGGGCATGTGTTACTTCATTAGTCATTGTATCTCTTGGTTTTGTTCTTTATTCTGTCCCAGGGTGGTAGCAAGAACACTTTTATTGGCTAAATTAGGAACTAAATGAACACAAATTATTGTTCTCTTTTTTTTGAGCAGGTTTGTTTTCATGGTAGACTTGACTAGATTCGATATGGGAGTGAAACATTGTTTTCCATTTAATTGAGATCTAATTCTTGTAGGATAATTGGTAGCTTTTGAATAAAAGTCTTGTGCAGAGAAGTTTGGTTTTCAGGTGAAGGAAAATTGCAAAGCTCTTTTCCAAATGTCAGATGTGCTCGAGCAGTTGAGTAGTTTTCTTTAACTTCAAAAGTGAACCAGCTGTATGTGTCTGAGGTACATGGTCATGAATTTTATGTTACTGGGTTTGTGAAAATTGAACTGGTGTCATAGGACCCTGTTGTGTTTTTTTGGGAGGAAGCAAATTCTTTCTGCAGCCATTTTCCACTTGTTTTTATCTTCCACTGGAAATTTTTATTTATTTTCGTAAGAGTGTTGATAGAGATATAACTAACAACAAATATGAATGCCAAAGGTGCAAATGTGACACTAATAACATTTTGGATTTTTTTACCCCTATTCAGAATGTCCTTTACAAATTTTTCACAGCCTTGTCATTATTTCATTTAGGAGAGCTAGAGAAATTATTTGGTTTTTTTATAAACCTTTGGAAATTGAATGGGCAAAATATTTAGTATTCTGCTGCTCCACTTCCCAGAGACTTTCTCTAGTCAGAACCTAGAACCTTGCTAAGTGAAGCAACTGGGACTTGGAAAGAAGTCCCAGAATGGATTAATTTGAATCCTGTGCTCTTTGTCCCGAATGTAATGGTTTTAAAAATCTACTGAAGAATTGTTCCTGAAAAAATAGAGAAACTGTGAAAGGCATCTAGGAGAGAAGATAGTAGTGCTGCTTCACTGCATACCTCTAAGAGAAAGAATAACTAATCTCCTAATGATTTTCAAGAAGTTTTTGTAGCTACCTCTTTTCCTGGGAATGATGGGTAGCATATCCAGGGCAGAGCAGGTGTTTTGAAAGATTACACTGAAAATCTTTTTGGTAACATTAAGAAAAATCTATTTACTTCATGTATTGCTTCATTTCCTGTTGTAATGTTTTATGTTTTATGATCAATATTGTATAAAAGCAGTTATAAAAACAGGAAGAAAATAAGCTTGTTAGAAATTGTTTATTCTCTAGAGTTAAAAATGAATGATCCTTGTTTTCCCTCCAAAATTCTAAAAAGGTGTGCAGTGACTCTTTCTGGGACAGATTTAATAATGGTTGAAACTTAATTAATAAGGTCCTGCAACTTCAACAAAGATACAAAATAATGTGAACTAAGATGATATATGGGATCACATTTTCATTCTTCTCCTTGCTTTGTTCCAAAAAGCAGATATTTAGTTTATATATTTCTTTGGTGGGGTTAGTGATACCGAACTTGCAAAGTTTGATGTTCTGTTGATGATATTAGTGATACCTGACTGGTTCCTTGAAAAGATGAGGTGTGTGAAACCAAAACCTTTTGTATGCTACAGAGATTAAGTAATGATTCTGTTCTTTG